AATAAAGTTTGGAGCGGACTAGTGGCCTATATAGGTTTAAGAGGTTAGTTTAATCCCCTCCCAACTTTGAATTAGAAACTACTTTCAATAAATCCAGTGCCTTCAGGCATTTATTTTTAAGGGATTTAATATGCGGCAAAAATGTTAAATGGGAGTCGAAAAGTACACCCAAGAACTTGGCCTCTTTGACAACTTTGATTGGAGTGCCATTTAAATTTTGTTCTGGGTCCTTATGTGGCTTATATTTTCTACAGAAGTGTATACAATTAGTTTTTGACTTAGAAAATTTATAGCCGTTTTCAAGACACCATTTATTTATTTTGTTTAAACACAATTGCAGTTGCCGTTCAATAGTATGCATGTTTTTACCACGACACGACATATTAAAATCATCCACAAACAGCGACCCATCGATTGAATCATTTAAAACCTTGGACAAACTATTGATCTTTATGCTAAAAAATGGGACAGACAAAATACTGCCTTGTGGGACACCCTGATCCTTATTGTAATGATCAGACAGGGTAGAACCCACGCGGACTTTAAATTGCCTGTCAGTTAAAAACTTGGATATGAATTGAGGCAAACGGCCTCGCAATCCAAAATCATGTAAATCTCTTAAAATCCCATGTTTCCAAGTAGTGTCATAGGCTTTTTCTAAATCGAAAAAGATCGACACTGCATGTTGTTTTTGAATAATAGCATTTTTTTACAAAGGATTCTAAACGCACTAAATGATCAATAGTACTTCTATTTTTACGGAAACCACACTGGATATCCGTTATAAGGTTATTGGTTTCCAAGTACCAAACAAGTCGATTATTGATCATGCGTTCCATGGTCTTGCAAACACAGCTAGTTAGTGAGATCGGTCGATAATTCGAAGGATCAGTATGGTCACGTCCAGGTTTAGGGATGGGAACAATAATAGCATCGCGCCATGAAGAAGGAAATTGTCCAGATGTCCAAATAACATTAAAAATGTTTAAGAGGGTCTCTAAGCATGATTCCGGTAAGTGCTTCAGGAGTTGATAATGTATGTTATCAGCCCCTGTAGCAGTATCGTGAGCCTGGTCAAGAGCAGTATGAAGCTCATGAATAGAAAATAGTTCATTGTAATATTCCCCATTATCTGAATGGAAATTAATAGTTTTCTTCTCCTGTTGATTTATATAATTTTGGAATTGAGGTAGATAGTTCGATGAGGAAGAGTGTTTGGCCACAGTTTCTCCAAGTTTATTTGCAATATCAGATTTACTAGTTAATAATTCGTCTCCGTCTTTAAGATGCTTAATGCTAGATTGAGAACCCTTGCCTTTTATTTTCTGGATCATATTCCATACTTTTGATATCGGCGTTCGTGAATTTATTTTTGAGACATAAGTTCGCCAGGATTGACGTTTACTTTGCTTGAAGGTACGCCGTGCCTTAGCATTTAAAATTTTAAATTTATTCAAATTATGGACCATAGGATGGCGACGGAAATAATTCTCAGCTTTCTTCCGTGCCTTCCTAGCCTGTTTGCACTCATTGGTGAACCATGGTTTTCGTATGTGTGGAATTGCAGAGGATTTGGGGATACACTCATCAGCAATGTTAATAAGTTCATCAGAGAAATCTTTTATAGGATCAGTACATTCTATAAAGAGTTCGGGTTTAAGTCTGCTACAAGACAGAGCTTGGTACAAAGGCCAGTTAGCTTTTTTTAAAGTTCCATCTCGAATATGGAGTAATATCAGATGGGTTTACAGGTTTTAGTATAGTAGGAAAATGGTCACTTCCACATAGGTCATCATGGACTGAGCATTCAAATTCATTTAGTAATTCTGAATTCGTGATTGATAAGTCGAGAGCAGAATAGGTTCCTGTACCAGGGTGTAAATACGTGTTGGAACCATTATTATAAATACATAAATCATTGTCTGAACAAAACTCCTCCAGTAGTTTACCTTTAGCGTTTGTATTTATGCTACCCCAGAGTGGGCTGTGGCCATTTAAGTCCCCCATAATAATACAGGGTTTAGGGAGTTGGTCATACAGAGTTTGAAGATCAGTCTTCGAATGACTGAAGACGGTGAGATATACAAAGAGCATAATGTAAATGCAACGTGTAAAGTGAGTCGCACTGCAACTGCTTGAAGATTAGAAGTAAGTGTAATAGGGCTATGGATAACATTCTGTTTGACTAGGATTGAAGAATCTCCAGTGGCCCTGTCACCTGGAGGTGAGAAATAATGATAAGCATTGAAATGACGTAGGTCAAAAAGATCCGTCTGCTTTAAATAAGTCTTTGCAGATAAAAATGCTCCTGCAGACAAAATCGTAAGTCACTGGTAACCTTAGTGCAATGTTAAAAATCCTGGTTACCTAATAAAGGTGTAACTCATTTGTAATTATGCCGTAGTCCTCTGCAATTCCACTGTACGATGGTGTTGGAATAAACTATCATTTCGGGGGATTTACTGGGGATCTACCCCGCAATGTTTTGGAGGGCGACAAGCTTCGTGCCCTAGATTGGACGTTTTCGGACACGTCCATATCCTCAAGTGATACGTATTTGTTGTAAAGTTTGATTTTATTTTCAGACCCTTTTGGGGCTCTGCCACTTTGCTTTTGTGAAGAATCAGGCTTAGGTTTATTTTTTCCTCTAGGAACTTGTTGTACATTAGACAAAGATTGAGACTTTTTGGGTGGCTGTGATGATGAACTATGCACAGAAGCTGACCCTGACTGACTTTGTGAATTGCCAGGAAGTGGCTCAGCAGTCTGAGTAGATATTGCAGGTGAGAAAATCTGTGGATAATCGGTGTTCACCCAAGTCAAGTTGGTTTGGGAACCTGAAGAAGATTTAGAAACTTTAGTGGATGGCTCAGACGGTGTTTTTTTTTTTTTTGAAGCATATGTTTCTTGTGGGTCAGATCTTTGAACAAGTTGTTTTGCTTCGGCAAAACTAATATTTTCAGTAAATTAAATCCTGTTAATTTCCATCTGGTGCTTCCAAATGGGACACTCTTTAGAGAAAGAGGAATGATCTCCTGAACAATTGGTGCATTTCTTGTAATCACTGTTACAATCTTCTGTTGTGTGGTCTTCTCACCGCAGTGAGCACACACAACAGACAATGTGCAGGTGTTCATACACCATGACCATACTTTTGGCATTTGAAACATCTCAGTGGATTCGGAATATACGTTTCCACTTTGATGTGACAGTAACCAGCCTTGATTGACTTTGGAGCAGTAGGAGTAGAAAATGAAAACAAGTAAGTGTTGGTTTGTTGGATCTGGTTGTATTTTCGGGTAGTGAAACGGTTGACGAATAAAACACCTTGGTCCTTCATCTCAGAGGCAATATCAATTTCCATCATATCAGCAAAAAGTCTATCACGGTCTCTCACAATGCCCTTGCTGGTGTTAAGTGTTCGGTGGGCAGAGACTGATACTGGAATGCCGACAAATGATTTAGTTGAAAGGAGGTTGTTTGCCTGGTGCCTCTTAGTGCATTCAACAAGTAAAGAACCAGTACGTAAACGTTTAACATTTCTCACATCTCCTGCAATGCCTTGTATGCCTTTAGATACGGCAAAAGGGTTCAGCTTTAATGGAGTATTGTCAGTGGTCTCAATTACAATAAATCGTGGCCAGTAATCAATAGAGGTGGACAGTCTTTGGTTGTTAACATCAGGATCAGTAGTATCAAGAGGACGCTTTGATTGTTTGAGGGGGGGTTCGTAAGCCATGGTAAAGTTATATTGTTTCGTCATTCGAGCTCCCCACCCACCACGGAGTATCACAAGGACAATGCTAAAGGCAGGCGGGTCTCCAGCCTGCAGCACCAAGGATACCCGGATGATATACGCACGCAGAATAATACAAAAGTAATTATTCCACCTGATTGGCCCATGAGCCACCGCCTTCTGGGCATACGACTCTAGGCAAAAACATGAAAGTGTATATTTGAAATTCTAATTCCTAAAAAATCGCCAAGACTTAAAAAAGAGTATGTTACAATGTTCAAAATTGTGTGCAACATTCCATAATGTAATCAATGCACAGGGCTTGGCGTGACCAGCCGATTGGTTGAACCGGGCCCATTCAACCACCCGTCTAGGTGAAGTTAGGGCCGAAGTGGTGTGTTGGGCAAAGGAACACTGTTCCTGGAACCAGTGCCCTCAACCACCAGAATCCCTTCCTCCACCGACACAGGGGCGCAACCCACGGCAAATGGGTTGGTGGACCAAATATCCCCCCGGGTCCACAACGGGGGGTTGAAGGGCGCTTAGCGTTACTACCCAGCACCCACCACGAGGAGGTGGCCCTTCATGGGTGCCTTTGCATCAAAGGGATATACAACCCCTGTGGGCATTCTGGTTAAATGTCACCTGTGAAGATCAGGTTTGAATTGATCCTTAGTAACCCATACTTATGGTAAGAGGCCCTGATGGGATCAGGTGATCTGGCTCGCTGGTTTGGTTGACACATGACATAGTATCCCTATTGTGTAGATTGATACTCATGCTGTTAATCACCGGATTGTCTGGTCTAGACACGATGATTTACAGACCGCTGCCATATTGCTGGAATATGGCTGAGTGCTGTGTAAAACTCACTCACTCACTGGCTAAGGTCCCCAGTGGCCACTGCTATTCGTAATATGTGAATACACTGGATCCGGCTTGGTTGGTTCATTGTCAACAATATTCCCAGCTCTATGTAAATAATCAAATACAAACATCTCATTCAGTTGAGCCGATACATATTATCCAGATTTTGAGATGATTTGTTTTGTCCCCAATGTATTTAGCAGTCAGCAGAGGTGATGCATTCCTGACACTTTCAGGACCTGTCAGCTATGCTGGTTTATGGAGGACGAAAGGGTAAGACAAAGGAATTGGCTCCCAAATTACACTGAAAGTGACTGAATGTAAATACTACAGTAAGACCTTCAAACTGTCACCATGTATTTCCAGTAAGGTAACAAAGCATAACAAAACAATAAAAGAACATGTATAAATGGATTTATTTACATTCTACATACAAGTAAAAATAGTTCATTGTAATATAGTTTCTTATTTCCAGTTTAATTTATACTTTTAACAGAAGTTAGTTTAAATAAATCTTGTACACATAAATATATCATATACATTTTTTTCAATATTATTGTTTTATGGGTACAAAAGAAGCATAGCACTGAGGAAATAAATAAATAACGCTGTGATAAAGATGCGGAGGAAGCTGGCGACTCAGTAGTGAGAAGAAGATGCATATTGCTTGTGGTCAGTAGATCCAAACCTATTCACTCTCACACACTTACATCTAAAATGTTTTATCAACAGAAAATGATTATTATGTTTCACCTTTTGAACTTCACTGTGGGTTAGATGGGAAACACTGACATGATATGCCCAAATCCACTGATTTTAAAAATAGATATCATTGTCCTATTGTGTCATCAGTTTGCGTGTCATTGCAGCCTGACAAATAATTAATTATCAACAACTAGTTTGTGTTGGTCAGATTTGAAAAGCACTAATAATGCTGATTATGGCATAAAACACCATTCACTCAGTCTAAGAAATCTATGTCACATATTTTCCCCTCAAGGAAAGTAAAGTAAAGGCTCGTTGTTCCTTAAATATGTATAAATTTGAAAACAACCCTAACAAAGAATGAAGATTAGTCTGTGTGATGTTGTTTTCATGGGTTGTTCTAGACATTCAGATGTTGGCAATGTCAAAAGGCCTATATCTCTGCTGGCCCCTCAAAGAGGCACTGAATAAATTATCTGGCAAGATGTGGACCCAGTCTAACACCTCCTACCCTGTGTCTTTACGCTGGAAATACTTCCATGACTAGCTCACTGAGAAAGTGGAAGGTAACAAAAGAGTGCACATATCCAGAGATATACTCTTGAATTCTTCTCTTGTATCTAGCAAACATTTAAGTAATGACGAAATCATTCCTAGATAGTAGTAAGTATTGTCAAGATAGGAATGTCTTTGAAACTCATCAGCGTTTTATAGAAAATGTCATGGTGCTGCAGAAATGACATGGCTTAGTTTGTTCTCCATTACCCACACTAACATGTCAACACTGGTGACACGATTCATGTAGTCACATATCCGGTATGACATTACAATGATAGCAAGCAAGATATACCATAACAGTAATTGTTCAAATGGCTAATGAGGTATTACTTACACAATGTATCTGCAGCAGACAAATACCTAACATTTGTTTAAACGAGGACTACATGAGGGCTGTAATAATACTCACATATGGATCTGGAATGCAAAAGATTAACCCCATCAGCTGAAAGGTGGAACTTTCAGATTTGCAAGTTATCCATAAAGATCAACCAAAAAGAAGAAATGTTCTAGGATCATTGGTCTGCAGCAGAAATTCATTCAAAATATTGAACATATTATATTCATTCAAAATATTGAACAGAATATATATTGTTCAACTGTTTACTGGGATGGGGTTTAATCTATTACTTCCTAAGTTACAATTACCTTCAAGAAAATATCTGTAGAATTAAATATCAACTAAGTCCATACATTTCATTTTATCTTTGGTATAAGTTGAAATTTGACATTTCTGTTTTGGCACTGCATCATGATGTCATTCTAGGTGGCGTTTTGCAGGTAAATTACCAGTAGCAGTTGGCAATGGAATCATGGTTAGTTGATGCACGCCACTATATCTATCTAACTGACATGGCACCTGTTTCACTGACCTTCGAGATTAACCACAACGTACACAGAGTATCTTTTATCTTTGATTACTGTTCAATAATAAGTTAATCCCCTTTGAAAACAAAGTCTAAAAGATAAAGATTAAACAACAGATAAATATGAAAATGTCAATAAAACTATTTGGTGCACTTATTAAAATAAGAAAACAATATTACTCCAGGTAAAAGGTATGACATTTGATAGTTGTAACAAATGAAACGTATATTTACAATTGATATCGATGTCTGGTGCAATTTGCATGATGGGAATAAATATTATTGCAAGAAAACTGTATCTAGTGCTGCACAGTGAGCTAACCGCTGTAGCTCACCTGTATCAGCACAAGTTCAGTGACAACTCATGTAAGTGACACTTGTACTTTTAGATGTTTGTCACATGTTCAACTAGACACAAAACTTGCTCTCTATAATGTGGATGGATTACAAGGTACTTACTCCCAAAAGATAATACATTTATGCTGATTTATTAATTTTCCAATATATTCAAGCAAGTTGAGTTACCTAAACAAATAATCATTTTGAGCATTTTGTGAAATTAGTTCCAATCTGCAGGATGTTATGTTAATCATTACCTTGCATAAAATCCTTGCCATTCAAGTATTAAGAGTCCCACATACGGTAATATATGTTCAGCATATATTTATATTCCCTTACACATTTAGCTGCCCTTATCACAATATCATAACATCAATTACATGTCACATTGGAAATAGAGATTGATGGGTGACGAAATGTGTTCAAGCTTTTGTGAAAATGACAACATTCACATTTTCATGAAATATTTGTTGATAGGTGTGAAACAACTTGTAAAAAGGTGCTTCATAAGTAATGATTTAAAAAAAGAAGATTAAAGTCAGCTGTTTTGTGCTTAAAATGTAAAAAGCAGAACATCACTGTTGAATACATTAGATACAATGTCTCACTTGGTGCGAGACGGGAAATGATAAGTTTTGTACTGGACTTATGCCTGTTATTAGTTTTACTGAACATCAAAATAATTTCATTGTTACAGTCACAACATATTTTTGAATCAATTAATAGATGTCATAGCAATTGTAACTTCAGCAATAGGTGTTGTTAACAAATCTCTTTATCTACTACACAGTTAACGTGAGGATGTATGAAACACATATACTCTCATTTAGTTATGTATGAAACCATGACCATAGAAGTTTCACTTTATAGTTCTAGCTGGACACAGCAACCGGACATTAACAGTATATCCTGGTATTTCCTAATGTAAATAACCTGTTATGAGAGAGATCCTATCTCAACCTCCATAGACAAAGGACAAAGAGTGCCCTTGGCCATCAAACATAAAACTCACTCCAAATCATAAAGTAAAATTGATAAATATTTCCTCATAGCATAATTATTTGAGAAAACTAGCTTGCAACACAGTACCTTACAGGACATAAACTCAAACATCAAATATGTAATTCCTTGAGAATATTTCTCAGATGGATCAAGCACTAACTTCAAGAGAAGTGTTCCTCAAACAAAAGTCTTAGCATTCTATGTTCACACATTGTAATGAACATCAAGGTATATTGTAGTGCAACTTGCAGACTGTGTGTGGCTGAGGCCAATATCACAGTGACAGTGACAAGTGAGACTATAGGTACAGTATTGCTTGAGAAGGTTGGTGACATCACAGTGAGAGTGAGGGGTCCTCACAGACAGTGCTCAGGGTGACACTGTATATTACCATGCATCCATTGGTTGAAACAACTCTTGCATACAGTCAGTGGGGCAGGTGACACCATCCTTACATCATTCATAAACACATTAGTTTCAACAACACACAAATTGCATAAACCAAATGTCACGCTTTCTAACTACTGACTGTTATCACCTTCCATATAGTTTTTGTCATTTTCACAAAATATAGAAACACTGTAATTATTAAATACTCCAGTAACAATTTTGAATGATTCGAGAAATCTGGAAAGTACTCTAAATACTTAATCCTGACATTATCCATGAAGTTACAATTTCAACAAATGATGTGCTCATTCTTAAGCCAATGATTTAGGAATAACATAAACACAATGGAAAACAACTAACAACATCTTCGAATCACATGACCTTAACCCTGAATGTTACCTTGTGAACTATGCTGTACATTTCACTCCAATGACAGTGACAAAAACATCCAACATGGAAGTGAGAGTGTACAGGTGGCTCCTACATATCGTGTATATCGTGACACAGTTACAATTTACCATCTAGTGAGTACAAGTACTGTAACATCATTGTAACTAATCATCACAAACTTGGCTGAATGAACCCACATACCACCAGGTTACCCAGTTAGTTAACTAGATTTGATCGCTGAGCCCAAGTCCAACAATGGCACTCATCTTTCCTATGCATGATACACAAAGGTATCTGATACAAAATGAAACTATCTTAGACTATATTGTGTTCTTGGGCAATGACCAAAATAAATCTTCATAATGACAAAACTGAAGTGGCAAGACAATAACACAATGAATGCTCCACTCGTGTGTTTATACTTGTACAATGTTACAAGTGATCTCAACCCTCGATCTACTACCTCTGATTATACAAAACTTCGATACAATGCAAATACCTGTTTACCACAGCAGTATCAGTGTTTTGACAAAACACTATTACAAAATTATTTTTCACAAACTTCCTGGGAAATAATAAGAATCCAAGAACTGCAATGTCTTTAGTTTTACCTCTGTGAGTTCAAGGGGAAAAAACTAGAATCTATGAATTGCAAAGTCTTTAGTTTTGGTGAACATAACATTGAACCAAATCTTTCCTCTAACACAATGATTTAACTGGACTGCTTCACAATAATTTCTTTTAAAAGTAGTTATTAATATTGTCTTTACTTTACTGCATAAGAACCAGAAAAGTGGAAACATAAACCACACTCCAAAAGCAACACACCAAAATACCCCAAAGCTTACAGGGAGCAAGAGAAGCTTGGCCACCAAAAAAAATATATGTCTGTAATATTCCACTGTACCAAACCGGTTGTTCTATGTGCATTGCAGCTGTTTGCATGATGTAAGATATACAGGAACCAACAACAGTTGCCTACTTTAGCAAGAGACTATGATGAGCAGGTGTCAGTCAACGGGAGGGAGGTCCACAAGGTTGATGATTATCACAACCACCGGCAAGGCAGGCAGAGTAATCGTGGTCACTGTCAGATAGCATCAACCTGATCTAAATAGCACTAGTGGTTGAATATCGTTGAGTGAATTGCTATGCTCACACAGCATCAGTCTACCCTTTGCACAGTAACCTGGGTTCATCATGATCACAGATATGGAGGACCCTGTAGAACAGCCTTGACCTCAATGATCTCATCTGGCTGATAATTCAGCTGTAATCCATGCTCTTCAGGGAGTGAATTTCTTCTTGAAGAAACCATTGAATAATCAGGTCTGTCCACAGTAGGGTCAGTTCTTGAGCCTAGATCAAGTACAGTATATTTCCTAAGTGATCGTGAGGTCAACAATGTGGAGGTGGCTGATCGCTCTCCTGACTGCTGCAAGATGAGATCTTGATTTCCACTCCACCAAACATGATCTTCTCTTCTTCCTCACACTCCTCCTCATCCTCCTCGACCTCGTCCTCCTGAGGGACATTTTTCACATCCATTCCCAGCTCATTCACAACCAGCTTGGCGATGTCGCTGATACTGTCACTCTCATCCATGGATATCTGTCGGAGTCTGTGCCTGATCACCTGCTCCATCTTGCGATGTTCAATCTCCTCCGCCTTCCGGAGGAGTTCCTTCTCACTCTTGTAGGCTGGGGTCTCCAGGGGAGCAGATCCTGAAAAGCTGTCAGAGAAGAAAACGTTGCTTGATGTGGGACTTCGTTGTGGGCTCCTGTCTTTAATGCATGATGTATCGATGTCATCTGTGATTGAAGTGTACTCTGCATGTAGTGGGGTTAGGATTGATGATAAATCCCTGACTGCAGATTGTGGGACCACCTCAGGATCTGGCGTAGTGAATGACCCTGTAGTTTGGGTGATCGACTTAGAAGGCGTCAGTGGGGTGACCTCAGGTGAGATCGGAGTGTATGCATGATCAGTTTTACCAGAGAGTACAGACTTCCAATCAGTCTTTTTGGTTGCATTCAGATTGAGATTGTCTGGTTTGTCTGGACCTTGTATTGAAGATGTATTGGTCGCTGCAGGGAGTTTGGCTGTGGTGAAAACAGCACTTGAGCCAGGACTGAGTGTGATCTCTCCATGAGATTCAGCGGTTGAAGATGCTTCTTGCAGATTGATGTTCTGTGCTCCAATGATTCGTAATTTAGATTCAGGACTCATCTTAGCCTTATTGAGACTTATAGTGGATAGCTTAGGCCCATGTCTTCTTTGTAGAAGTGGCACTTCAGAGTTACTGATGGGAGTACTTGTGTTGTCTGGGGAGAGTAAGGGAGAAGGAGGTGACACTGTCGGAGATGCTATGGTTACAACAGTCACAGGGGTAGCTGGGTTATCAGAAACAGGGGATGGAGGGACAACCACTGGAGATTGAATAACTGCAGAGGGTTTCGAGCAACGGTAGCCTCACTTGGGGCAATGGTTGCAGGGCTGGATGCAGTTGTAACAGGTGTTAGATCTTCTGCAGGAACAGCAGAATTGGATTTGTTAAAGGTCTTATCATTGGAAATGTCGTAACTTGTTTCAGGTGATCGTAATGCAGACTCTCCAGAAGTACCATCTTTCTGTGAATCCTGCCCATCAACACTTCCAGGTTGTGTATCCACAGACGGTAAGCTGGAATAGGTGCCTCCACTCAGCTGTCGACCCCGGCTGTAATTGGTGAACTTTTCTAACTGTTCATGGTTCAGTGGCTTCTTCGAATGTATCAGTACAGGAGATGGCTGACTATGCATTTGAGTCTCTGGTGTTATTCTTCCATGAGACAAGTCAGAGCTGGAGGCACGACCCCGATCATGGGTCATTAGTGGCTCCATGATGATTGCTGGAAGGTCCTGTTCTATGACGGAATCATGGCTGGATATGGAAGGGTGGAGGAACCGGGTGGTTGGGAAAGAGCGATTCTCACCATGAGCAAGACATGCCTGGATATAGTTGAGAGCGTCTGCAGTTTGGTGTGCAATCTCTTCCAGTCGACCAAGACGATAGTCCACAGTCTGAAGAGAGAGCTTGATGGTATTCTCTTTCTGGTTCATGTCATCAACCCGCATGGACATACTTTCAACCCTACAACAAAGAATATGATTATATGTACATAATGATGACTTTTACCCCCCATAAAAAAAAGGAACCAAAAAATCAAGAAGTAATCTAATAATTTCAAGGCATATCTTCAAAACATACCAACTGTGAAGATCGGGGTTAGAATTGATCTTCAGTATACCATGCTTGTCGTAAGAGGTGACTAACGCGATCGGGTGGTCAGACTCGCTGACTTGGTTGACACATGTCATCGTGTCCCAATTGCATAGTTAGATGCTCATGCTGTTGATGACTGGATTGCCTGGTCCAGACTCAATTATTCGTAGACTGGTGCCACATAGCTGGAATATTGCTGAGTGTGGGGTAAAACTAAACTCACTCACTCAAAACATACCTGTATAAAACAAAATGTACATTATGCTTACAAGAAAGTCCATACAATATGAAAAAGACAGTTTCAGGATTGAGCAGGACTTATCAATCAAACTGAAATCTGCCATCAGTATTGGTGACAGAGAAGTCTGCAACTGACCTCTCATTGATGAGTCTGATTCGTTCTTCAGATGAGGATTGGAACTTGATTTCTTTGTCCCGGAAGTAGTCTTCCATACATTCCTCCTCAAAATCATGAAGTTTCTCTGTGTCCTCCTTCGACAGGAACAATTCTACAATTAAAAGACATACTAGAATATTTATCCATTTATGGAAGTGACACAATACAGAAAACCACAGAGAAACAGAACAACGAAATAGGTTCCCATGTCACAGAAGATACACTACATCATCAAAACATTCTTTGTCTGGGTAAATATAGACATGACTGCTACTTTTTTGTTTGCTATTTCAAACCAGTTTGAAAAGTAGAGGCACCAATCTTTGTCATCGAACATTGCGAGTGGTTGAGAGTGGCATGGAGTCAATTCATACAGAGTATGACACTAGAGTAGTGGACGAAACTCGAAGCATCCATCAAACAACAATATACCAGCCACAGAGGGTTTTCTAATTCCATTATTTGTCAACTTTTGTATTTAGATATTTCAGAAAATGTAATAAAACCCTCTGTGCCCACTTACTGAGTCCATTGTCGTAGTAGTCCCTCTTGCCCTTGCAGCGTCGTCTAAGGTACTTGAATGCCAGGTAAAGATGGCTGAAAATAATTAGAGGTGGTGGCAGGATGGGCCTCATTTCATATTCTTGAATCAGTTCATACCGCTGGAATTTCCAGATCTCAAGTGAGATGGCGTTGTTCTTGTAGAATGTTGAACTGTAAACACAAAGTTAAACCTGAGTGGTGGAGGTGCGACGGACAAGGCTACAAGGAAGGTGGTTTGAATATTTCTGTAAAGGCAGTTGAGGAAAGAACAAGGGAGAAGGGAAGATTTGAGTGTTGACCTGGTTGGTGGGGACCAATCTGACTCCGAATTCACAATAGCATAGACATATTAGTTATCTGTAACCTGCCAACTACAATTCTGATACACGTCAGGAGTCAAACAGGATTCATTTTTCTGTCCTTGGCTCATAATGTTTATAACACAATGTCATATGAGGCACCCATCTCCAATAAGGCCCCTTAACGTCCTGTTGAGCAATCTGTAAGTAATCTTTATATATGCCCATGCATTTCTTGTGCATATAAGGCATTTAAAAAGTTTAAATGGTAGCACAGCAATGACCTGTATAAAAAAAGCTTTAGCATCAGTCCACAATAGTCTGAGCTCTGAAGACTTATTTAAGTGGTTGTTTACAGTTAAAATAAGCAGCCCTGGAATATTTACTCAGCATTACCTTTACCCAAAACGATCTGCTGTAGTGGCCATTTTGTATTTGGCAACATGAACAGTTTACTTTCATTGTACAATGGGAAAGGTTTTTTGTTTGACTGTTGTTCAATGTCGCACTCAGCAATATTGCACCTATATGAGGACAGCCTGTAAGTGCAGTCTAGACCAGTGCAGTCTAGACAAGTACAGTCTAAACCAGACAATCCACATACTGATCTTGTGAGCAACAACCACAGACACACAATCCACAACCACAGACACACAATCCACAACCACGGACACACAATCCACAACCACAGACACACAATCCACAACCACAGACACACAATCCACAACAACGGACACACGATCCACAACTACAGGTACACAATCCACAACCACAGACACACAATCCACAACTACAGACACACAATCCACAACCACGGACACACAATCCACAACCATGGACACACATTCACAGACACACAATCCACAACCATGAACACACCATCCACAACCAAAGACACACAATCCAAAACCAAGGACACACAATCCACAACCACACAATCCACAACCACAGACACACAATCCACAACCAAGGACACACAATCCACAACCACACAATCCACAACCACAACCACACAATCCACAACCACAGACACACAATCCACAACCATTGACACACAATCCACAACAACAGACACACAATCCACAAATTGGTTACCTCTGTGACCAACATAGACTGCTGACCCAAATACCCGTGAGGTCATTGAGACGATGAAGTAAATGACATAATAGTTCTAACTAGATTTGAAGATGGAGAGATTATATGCAAATGGAGAGGCATACAAGGTAAGAGCTCATGGTGTCACAGGGAGACAAGTAATACTCTGAACCTTAATTGGACCAAAAATAGATTATGAACTTAATCGATGTAGCATACAACCCGTGTCATAGTTAAAAATAACAATTTCTCCATAAAAAACCCCATGAGAGCAAATCAGAAATGATCAGTTTTCTGATTGGACATTGCCCCCTGCCTGCTGTTTGATCCGTCACCTTGATGACAATGGAATAGGGTTTCCATTTCAGGATAAGGACAAAGCATGTTTGTATTCAGGTGACTCTCTGCCTTTGATGGATGGACTGCAGAAGCTACAGTACATATTTATTATGGTAGTTGTAAGGAACAAAGGAACGGTTTTCTGATGAAAACAAAATAAATGGACTAGGAAAGCAGAATTTACCAATTAATACTATTACAAGCCATTAACTAGTAACTTTATCTGTTGAATTTGCGGCATTTGTTTGGTCAGAGACTCCACAACAACAGGAGTCAACCTTCATCAATCACTAGTTCTTTTTCTAGGTCTGCTACATTGTAAATCTCATCGGGAAGATAACCTGATGGATTTATTGCCTGGCTCCAGTCAAGAACAACATGTATCACAAGCTGTGATGTATTCTTTCCTTTTCCCAGTGACAATAATATCACACCAAACAACATGAAACGTCAAAACTGACTTGAGATAAAATGTCTTCAAAGACTATTCTATTCTTGGCTGACAAGCAGGAGTTATGTTCCTGTACAGCGTCTGACATCCGTGTCAGTAGTTCATGGTATGTTTCAGTCTGGACTTGTCACAGAATACCCCACTCAATTGTACAATTCCAGACAGACAGTTCTATAGTGCTGGGCCACATACATTCCATGCTGTATTTATAAATGCCCAACATGAATACCCCACTCACACATGGCATATTGACCCCACTCACACATGGCATATTGACCCCACTCACACATGGCATATTGACCCCACTCACACATGGCATGTTGACCCCACTCACACATGGCATATTGACCCCACTCACACATGGCATATTGACCCCACTCACACATGGCATATTGACCCCACTCACACATGGCATATTGACCCCACTCACACATGGCATATTGACCCCACTCACACACATGGCATATTGACCCACACATGTTGACCCCACTCACACATGGCATATTGACCCCACTCACACATGGCATGTTGACCCCACTCACACATGGCATATTGACCCCACTCACACATGGCATATTGACCCCACTCACACATGGCATATTGACCCCACTCACACATGGCATATTGACCCCACTCACACATGGCATATTGACCCCACTCACACATGGCATATTGACCCCACTCACACATGGCATATTGACCCCACTCACATGGCATATTGACATCACTATTGACCCCACTCACACATGGCATGACCCCACTCACACATGGCATATTGACCCCACTCACACATGGCATATTGACCCACACACACACACATGGCATATTGACCCCACTCACACATGGCATGACATATTGACCCACTCACACATGGCACCCCACTCACACATGGCATATTGACCCCACTCACACATGACATCCCCACTCACACATGGCATATTGACCCCACTCACACATGGCATGTTGACCCCACTCACACATGGCATATTGACCCCACTCACACGTGGCATGACCCCACTCACACATGGCATATTGACCCCACTCACACATGGCATATTGACCCCACTCACACATGGCATATTGACCCCACTCACACATGGCATATTGACCCCACTCACACATGACATATTGACCCCACTCACACATGGCATATTGACCCCACTCACACATGGCATATTGACCCCACTCACATGGCATATTGACCCCACTCACACATGGCATATTGACCCCACTCACACACATGGCATATTGACCCCACTCACACATGGCATGTTGACCCCACTCACACATGGCATATTGACCCCACTCACACCCCACTGACATATTGACCCCACTCACACATGGCATATTGACCCCACTCACACATGACATATTGACCCCACTCACACATGGCATATTGACCCCACCCCACTCACACACATGGCATATTGACCCCACTCACACATGGCATATTGACCCCACTCACACATGGCATATTGACCCCACTCACACATGACATATTGACCCCACTCACACATGGCATATTGACCCCACTCACACATGGCATATTGACCCCACTCACACATGACATATTGACCCCACTCACACATGACATATTGACCCCACTCACACATGGCATATTGACCCCACTCACACATGACATATTGACCCCACTCACAAATGGCATATTGACCCCACTCACACATGACATATTGACCCCACTCACACATGGCATATTGACCCCACTCACACATGACCCCACTCACACATGTGACATGACCCCACTCACACATGGCATGACCCCACTCACACGTGGCATATTGACTCCCACTCACACACACATGGCATATTGATCCCACTCACACATGGCATATTGACCCCACTCACACATGGCATATTGACCCCACTCACACATGGCATATTGACCCCACTCACACATGGCATATTGATCCCACTCACACATGGCATGTTGACCCCACTCACACATGGCATATTGACCCCACTCACACATGGCATATTGACCCCACTCACACATGGCATATTGACCCCACTCACACATGGCATATTGACCCCACTCACACATGGCATATTGACCCCACTCACACATGGCATGTTGACTCTGAGCTAAACAGTCCTGATCCTTTTCACTTTGTGAATAAAATATGCTTAAACTAAAACATAGTCCCTGTTTTATCATGGTAATAGTGAACGCCAGGCAGGGAAACAATAAGTACCATTTAACATCTTATGGTAGACTATGATGAAGACTAATGCTTAGTCTCTGAATATATATAATTTTGATAGAAACAAACAATTCCTCTTACACTGAAAGTGAGCCCCAGTGAGAAGGAAGTTTCAGACCTGAGGAAATCTAAACTTGCTTCATTTAAGGCTTTAGCATTGCAGAAGAGCTTGGCAGAAGGGATAATAATGCAGTTCAGGGACTATGAGACAGACTTGGAATGTTGTGGCTGGGCTTTAACTGCCTGACTTTTTGTTCTCAAGACAGATGCACTGTCCACTAGACAACACAAGCATTAGACCTCCCATAAACCTGTACTTTTAATTATCACCAGTATATACTTCATCCAGTTTCCTCACCTCCTTATTCCTCCTGTGATAATATAATGTATTAAATCAAAAGTCTCATTAATAGCATATATGTGACCACAACCCTTGTGTTCAGTTTGCACTGATTTGGGTATATTTGCCTGAATGAGAAGCTGTATTGCATTGCCATTGCATGTGGGATAAAGATGGTTACTTTCTTCAGCATTCTTCATTTTTCAAGAATTTTATTTCAAACTATGATAAGATACTGGTACATAAAATATCAGGTTAATGTCTTGAGAACTGTTATGAAACTTCTTGATCTGGTCAAATCTAAAGTTCCAGGAGTTTTCAATCTTGAACCAACCCTGTAGATTTCATTATCTACATGCCTCCATGATAAATCTGCATTCATTGTACTTACTTAAATTACTTACTTAAATCTTGCAATAAGAAGGTTGATCATCAGTATATTGGCCACAAGGAGGTAGGCAGACATTATGGCTGGCGCGACCCACGATCCGTACGGACATGTGTCACTATGCTCACATGCTGAAACAAAAACACATTTATCCATGATGGTACTTTTACGGTACAAACAATTCTAAAAATACATTTAATATTGTATTTGTTCACTTGCATTCACATTTAATGGCCGTCCATCAACACTTGTCAACCCCATATGATACCAATGGTCATTAAATCCAACACTATTTTGGATTGTTGTCAAAACTGATCTTTCAGGAGGAAAATGACCATTATATTTTCTCAATCATTGAACAATTTTAGCATTCATATAATCTTAAAGAAAAAATAGAATCACTTTCTGATCAATATTATTTCCTTGATGGGCATTTTTGAAGTTGGGGTGATGAAGAATGATGATGTATTTTTATGGATATACAACTTCTTTATTATGAAAGGTGATGTTGTGATCACTTCTATGTTATCACTTGCTTGACAACGACATTAGAATCTATGTCGAAACGTCGCCTTTCACAATAAGGAAGTTGTATATCCCAAAAATAGTATCATCATTCTCCTTATCAATATTATGTATCAAAGTAGCTGTTGAGTGTGTTGAAAGACATTAAATACTATGTAAATACAGATTATTGCTTAGTGTTTTTTCAGAAGGTAGACTAACTGAGAATCTCACACAGTTGTCTTTTGATATCAAATACAACAACTTACTTCAGTCTATAAAAGCTGAAAGTTCAGAGTTTGAAACTTTGTTTCTGATGAGTCTTAATATATTTGACATCAAAAGGTGACATTCTATATTCCATGCAATTCCTTCAGCCAACTGTTTGAAAACAGTCACAAGCAGTGTCCTGAGTGTTAAAAGTTCAGCTAACCAGACTACGCAGAGAGTTTACTGACATCAGAGTGACAGATATCACAACTATGGTGTACAAAACTTTGTGATGGAATTTCATTGCAATGATATCTCCTGCAGACCCATTTTGAATGACAAAGCCTGAGATTAAATATAGCATTTAGAGAGCCTCACAATCTATGGAATCTAGTTTATGGAACCACCATATGTGTATCTACTTCCACTTACGATCTATATCCTCTGCAAACAACTCTCCATATATCATCCAGTATGGATAGAACCACACGTTCCTGAGTACTCGGGACCAGTTCATGTCTTCTTTCTGGTAGTGGATCGACTGACGCACCACGCCGAAACTTGTCACCACAATAAACAGGATGATGATGAAATATGCCATATCTTTCAGCTGTAACAGTAAAATAACACTTTACAATATGGAAAAGTATTGTTCAGAAACTTCCCATAAGCTTCATCAACTTAGAGCCATGAGACAATGTATTTCACAAATATATGAGGTCAAATTAAAACTATTCCATCTATATCAAAGAAAATAAAGTACTTTCAACTTCATAGACCTTGTGGTTTCTATGAGAAATGTGCAAAGAGCATCAAGTTTGAAAGGACCAAAAACAGACATGATCATGCAGCTTCACAGTTTCTAAAAAAATACCCCCAAAATGTAACAAGAGAATATTGATATAATCCACAATGCTAAAGACCCATCTTGGAAATGTCAACTAGTTATCTTGTTTGCATATCAAATGTAAAGATGTTAACAAAATTAGAAAAACTTTAGAAACCCTAAGTAAGTACAAATTGTATTTCTGAACAACATTTTCAGTCTTCATTACCTATGTATTCAATTAAGGTATTGGTTTTAGATATTGTAACTTCTGTAATTAGTGTAATATACTTAACCATTACTGTATTAGGATTCACTACAACCCCATCACTTCCATATTAGGATTCATTATGATACTTCTTTTAATCTATACATAAAGGTATTGTTTTTCCGTTATAAAGACCTCATTGCTTCTGTACTTGGTTTCACCATCACAGTTTCCAGATTAGTCTGTTGCCATGGAAACTCAAAAGGTATATTTTCAAAAGCTCCTGCACTCTCAAAAGGCACAGTTCACTATTAGACCTGTGTAACAACTTTGGTGAATACATTTTGGTGAAGATGGTTTTCAAGATCTGCTCTGGAAACATCACCCCACACAGACGCTACCTATTTTGATACATTGCAGGGGATAAAATGTGTTGTGGGGATTAAAAGAATGTACAAGAACGGAAAACTAATGCAAATGAGTCCATGATGTCAGATATCCTCATGTTTCAACTTCAGTTCATTAAACAAGAAGAAAATGAAACTGGAAGCAACCAGACAACACGTTATCAAAGATAATGAAAATCCTTCAACTTCTTAAAGACATGTTTGTCTACATGAAAGATATGTTTATCTACTTCTGTGTTATTTGTTCACAATGAGAACAATTTGATACTGCAACTCTCACAAACAGCAATCTCTGTTCATTAGTTCTTACATGATGTGATCAGACATATACAAACAACACTGCACTGGAAAAGGAATCCCAGATGAGAATGTGTGACAGGCTTCAGCTGATCTATTTTACAAGGTTACTTTGCTTCATTTGTTAGTTGTGTAGTTCATTAGCAACTGTTTCCCCAGACACCTTGGGTTTGATTCTCCCAGCCAACACATTCAGTGATACATTATATCAGCAAAGTTTTCTGTAATGCTGTAACAATATCCCTTTAGGTCTCAACTGTTGTATGTTGTAATACATGTTTCTGAAACATTGAGTAAATATGTGAGTGTAATCCCACTTTGAGCAGCATTGTAGTCATAAAATGGCATGTCAGAATATTGTGGAAGGAAGGATATATATACATATTTGTTTGTTGAAATCCAGGAGCTGGAATGAGTAAGTAGGTTTAACATTATTTTGCATCTGTTACAGCAGAATGCATTGCCTGTGATGATTGGGTTGTGAGTGTTCCCCAACAGGTGCAGAGATAAGGGTCTCCGACAGGTAACGCTGACTATAAGAGGGAGACCTGTGTTTGGTTAGTCACCCTATCCACGCTGTATTGTGTTCCCCAACAGGTGCAGAGATAAGAGGGAGTCCTTGGTTAGTCGCAGTATTGTGTTCCCCAACAGGTGCAAAGATGACTACAGGTAACGCTGACTATAAGAGGGAGTCCTGTGTTTGGTTAGTCACCATATCCACGCTGTATTGTGTTCCCCAACAGGTGCAGAGATAAGGGTCGACAGGTAATGCTGACTATAAGAGGGAGTCCTGTGTTTGGTTAGTCACCATATCCACGCTGTATTGTGTTCCCCAACAGGTGCAGAGATAAGGGTCGACAGGTAACGCTGACTATAAGAGGGAGTCCTGTGTTTGGTTAGTCACCATATCCACGCTGTATTGTGTTCCCCAACAGGTGCAGAGATAAGGGTCGACAGGTAATGCTGACTATAAGAGGGAGTCCTGTGTTTGGTTAGTCACCATATCCACGCTGTATTGTGTTCCCCAACAGGTGCAGAGATAAGGGTCGACAGGTAATGCTGACTATAAGAGGGAGTCCTGTGTTTGGTTAGTCACCATATCCACGCTGTATTGTGTTCCCCAACAGGTGCAGAAATAAGGGTCGACAGGTAACGCTGACTATAAGAGGGAGTCCTGTGTTTGGTTAGTCACCATATCCACGCTATATTGTGGTGGGCTGTAATGACACACAATCAAGCAAGTCATTGAGTCTGACCACACAATCTGTTTGTTGCCCCCTATGATGTGGTTGATGGATGCCTATTTCACCCATGTATTCCCCAGGGATTCTTGGTTTTGTGAAACCTTTATCCCCAGTTGGCACAATGTAGGTACTTTCTTAAAATCTTAAATTTTACATCTTGTCATTTATGGGATTTACCAAAAGGGTCAATAACTATATTTGATAATTTAAAGATATATGTTTGTTATACACAATGTTAATGCACTGTGTTGATATCGATCTTCAAGCTAATGAAAGAAAAACATACATATATACATGTATACTGGATGTTCATGTTGTGACGTGTATGTTTATATTTGTTTTATTTAAACCAGCCTAAGTAATGTATTTGTTCCCCCCAGTAATAAAGAATGTTGCATATCGATATTCTTTTGATAATTCTCTGGTTTGTTGGTTAAGAAAACAGTCACTGGTGTTATGCAATAATCGGCTAATGGTAAGAGTGTACATATATTTACACATGCTCATTTCAAGTCCATAGGTAATGTACATACATACAGCAACTAACTTTATCCATGGCTTTTTCAAGACAAGCAAATGCTACAAAATGAAAAAAATCTTAAAAGAAAAAATCACAGTCTAAGTAGAGAGATCCATTGATTTTACTTGTGCATTTTGAAGATAATTCAACATAGAGATTATTCTGAGCTACATTATTTGATAGTCATCCCAATTAACAAAGAATACATTCTTGATCAATGTTATGACTTAAAACATGGGTGTTTCACGAAGACTGCAGAAATGGTAAACCTATGTCATCAAATTAAGAAAGGAGAACACACAAATATTTCCTTTACCAGTAGGTAGGTGAAGACAATATAATTATGTGAGGTGAGATATTTGGGAGTTAGGTGGGCAAGGATGAAAATTATTTGAAACGTCACTATATTCTATGTAATCATGAACTATGATTACTCTACCCTCCTGTTTCCACCCACATTTCCATGTACATACAAGCACATAAACCCTCCCAGATGCCCATGCATTATCTACACTGCCTCAAAATAAATAAACAGCACCAACCTGAGCACATCTTGTACACACAGCACTTTACCGGTAACAGTTTTCAACAAAGGAAGTTTTAGCTTTCAATTTCCTTTTGAGCATGGCTAACAAACATTGGGTTTGTTTCACTGGCAACAGAAACTGGATGACACAGACACTGTCTGTACATACTGTGATATGAAGGGGAGCAACTCTAACTATCTCTTACAGGTCTTAAATCAAGATGACTGTTCTGCATGGAGCAAATATCCATTGACTGACTACAAATTAATAGCTATATTTTCCATTGCCATCACAGTCGTAACCTTCATCACCATGAGAGTGGTCCAAATGTGAAGTTATCAGTAATAGGTAATACATCACTGCCAGAATACCAGAAAGTGAATTATTAATTGGCATTATCCCGTTCTATCACAATCTGATGGCTGTAAAAGATCACGTCTAAGATCTGCAATATCCACAGCAGATAGAGACATCACTGAAACATTCATGGAACACAAACACTCTCCATATCATATTTCACCCAATTACCTGATAAGTCTTTGCAAATAATGATGATAAAACAACTACCTGGATGTAACCTCAAAAGCAAGTGTCACATATAAACACATGTACATCACTGTAAGCAAACACCTCCCATTGTGTAACGCTATGTACACAAAAAGCCTTTAGTGAATTGTTTGTATTTTTGGCTATGAAGGTGTTTACTTACCCACACTGACCATGGGAATTGTGCTACTCAAATAAATACCTTTCAGCTGCAGGAAATGCTGGAGTAGGACCAGGAAGAGGTCCTGGGGATGCTTGGAGGAATTCTTCCTACCATTAGAGTTACTTCCAGGATGATCAATAATTGTCTTCATTCAACAGATCAAGAGTGAAGCAAAATATTTCTTGTCATGAGAACTCAAGATACTTGAGATTGTGATGGATGTGATCAGTTTTAGAGTAAATGCAGAGTAAGATGAGACACAGTCACAATGTGGGTGTAAGGGAATTTACAAGCTCAATGGTCCTGAACACAAGAGCAGGACCAGATCATGACTAGCCAAACACCTAGGGTTGCTTCATGAGTAATGATATTTACAATTACTCATGGCTAAAGAGTGAACCCCTTACAGCATACCACTAATTCCTAACAAATGTGTCACTATTTTGGAATTCAATAAATCATATTTAATGTAAGAAAATGAAGGATGGATCAATAAACAACCGTGTGTGTGTGCGTGTATCTGATACTGTTACAATCTCAAAACTGCTGATCCTTTGTCTCAGGTAACTGGTACAATCCTTTGTATCAGATAACTGGTTTAATCCCTTGTCATAGGTCACTGGTTTGATCCTTGGTCTCAGATAACTGGGTTGACCATTGGGCTAAGAAAACCGGTTTGATCCTTGGTCTCAGATAACTGGTTTGATCATTGGTCTAAGATAACTGGGTTGATCCTTTGTCTCAGCCAACTGGGTTGATCCTTAGTCTCAGCAAACCGGTTTGCTCCTTGGTCTCAGATAACTGGTTTGCTCCTTGGTCTAAGATAACTGGTTTGCTCCTTGGTCTAAGATAACTGGGTTGATCCTTGGTCT